GAGGAGGAGAGGGCGTGGAGGGAGGGGAGGGGGGGGAGGAGGTGGAGGGAGGAGGTAGATGATGGAGGAGGTAGCGGAGGGCCAGGTAGTGGAGGAGGAAGGGAGAAGGTGGTGGAGGAGGAGGAGAAGAGAGGACCGTGGAGGTAGAGGAAGGGAGGGAGGAGGAGGAGAGGTCGGAGGAGAAGGAGGGAGGGAGAAGGTGGGAGAACGGTGGTGGAGAGGAGGAGGGGGGAGAAGGTGGAGGAGGAAGGAGGGAGCAGCGGAGGAGGGAGGAAGTGGAGATTGGGAGGAGGTAGAGGAGGGCGTTATACCTCCTCTTCTCTCCTTATCACATTCTACATCCTATCTTACCTCTCCCTCAACCGCCACCTGCTCCTCTACCTCTTCTTACCTCTACTCTCCCCTTCCCTATGTCCTTTCTCCATACATTCTCGTCGCTCCTCTACTCTGCTTAAATGTCCGGGGGTAAATGGTCGAGGGTTTAAATGTCCGGGGGTTAAATGTTCGGGGAGGTTAATTGTCGTGAGGGTAAATGGTTCCGGGGGGGTAAAATGTCGGGGTGGTAATTGTCCGGGGGGGTATGTCGGGGGTATTGGCCGGGGGTAATGTCGGACGGTGTATTGTCCGGGGGTGTGATTGTACCGGCGGGTAATTGTCGGGAGGTGAATGAGCATAGGAGAAGGTAACTGTCGGGGCAGTAATTGTGGGGGTAATTGTCTGGGGTATTGTCCCGGGGTATTTGTTCCTTTATCAATAGAGGGATAGATAGAAGAGTAGATGATAAGATAGGTAGGATAGGAAAGTAGATAGTATAGATAGGATGTAGTAGATAGATAGATAGATAGTAGTAGATGAGAGTAGATGTGATAGCTAGTAGATAGATAGATTGATAGATAGATAGTCGATAGATCGATTAGATAGATTAGATAGATAGATAGATAGATATGATAGATAGATAGATGGTTGGATGGATGATGGATGGAGGTGGTGGATATGGATGGATGGATATGGATGGCTGAATGATGGAATGATGGACGGATGACGGACGGACGGAGGAACGGACAGACGGGACGGACGGGCGGGCGGACGACCGGCGGGATGTCGGACGGGCGGAACGACGACAGACAGACAGTTATAGATAGACGGCCGACAGACAGTAGAATTAGACAGAATACTAGATAGACGGATAGTTTCTACACCTTTCATTGCGATATGTCTGATAATTTTTTCGTGGTGAGGGCGAATGTGCAACACGACAGGAATTGAGAGGGCGATTGAGCGGTATGGAAGATATCATTTAATGCTATCATCAGAATCTTGAATTGCTCGGTCATGGTGTTCAAATCGGTTTCCCCACTGATGCTGCAGATACATGCAGGCGCATCGTTTGTGATAGGGGTACAAAACAGAATCCTGACTTTATATAGTCGTTACCTGTCTATTCTGGTTTCGGTTAGAGGTACACAACCTACATAATTATGGTAGAGCTTTCTATTTTCCTTATTTTTCTCCCTTCTCTCTTTCTCTCTATATTTATATATATACATTAATGTGTGTTGGCGGGTGGTGCAGTGAGTTGCGTCGGTGGCTGCGTGTGTGTGCTGTATGTGGTGTTGTTGTGTGTGTGTGTGTGGTGGTGTGTTGTATGTGAGTGAGTGATGCGGAGTGTGTATGTGTGTGTGTTGTGTGTATTTATATATGTATGTGTGTTGTGTGTAGCGCGCAGCGCGCGTGTGTATGCATGGCGTGCTCGCGTCGTGCGCGAGTGTGTGTGTAATGCGCGTAGTGCGCTGTGCCTATGACGTGCGGCAATGCAGTTGACGCAGCGGAACTCTAGACAATTTAATTCTCGTCATTGAGCAGCTTGATTGTGAGAGATGGGGATAAATGATTGACAACCTACTACACTACTAATGTACCGTATAAAGCAACTATCATCTCTCTATGCCGCCTGAAGCTATATATGTGCAATGTCAGTACTGCATATTGCAAATAAAAGAATGTTTATGTGTTTGAATAGTAGAGAAATGTGCATATGATGTGATAGCGAAGCAATGATATGCATAGGTTAATCAGTTATTCAGAATCATACTGCGAAGGCGGTCTGAACTTTTCTCATTAACAATACCATTTGGCATATTGAAGTCAAATGTCTCGCCATTTGTAGTTTTATCGGCAACAGAAGTATGGAGATTTGCTCATTGACTTGATCAGGCTGACTTTGCCCTGGCAGGATTCTCGCAGTTTGCAAGTGTGAACCTTGCGGCTTGTCTTTCCAGATCTTTTCCGTAGAGAACAGAAGCCTTGTTATAAAGATTTACTTTAATTGAATGTGTTTTTAAGTTTATATTTTTGCACATGCAACAATTATATTTATTGCGAGGCACGCCTCATGCAACATGACACACACAGTAACACACACACACACACACACAAACAAACACACACACACACACACAACACACACAAAACACTACAAAGAGAGAGAGAGAGAGGATGAAGAGAGGCGGAAGGAGCGGGCCAGAGAGAGGGAGAGCGGAGAGGACGGAAAGTAGAGAGAGTGAGATAGATGAGAGCGAGTAGGGAGAGAGCCGAAAGAGGGAGAGAGTTGGGAGAGGAGAGAGGAAGAAAGAGGGGAGGAGAACGAGACAAGACAATAGGGAACGCCGAAACACACGCTTACCACCGAAACAAGCACACACGGCACCGCACGAGCACGGACGTTACGGCACACAGGACGACACCCGCGACCAGCCACAACAGCCGCGGCGTGCACACAGCACAACCGCGCGCGGCGAAGCACGCCGCACGCCGGCCACACACACACACACACACACACAATAAATATATGCATACATTTTGCGCTGCTGCGCCATATAGGATAGGCTATAATTAATATGATTTCATATTACTAACAGCCTCAATCGCAGTGAGTGGATTATTATAACAGCCCACCATCTTCGTCCCAGCTTTCTCGTACATACCATGATTAGTAACTTACCATGGTTAGCACTTGTGATGCTCGGATCTGTTATGATTTCCATTATTATAGCATGACTACGGCGTAATAATGGGATTTCGCCCGAAAACGGTCACTGCTGAGAAGTCTTTTGCAGAGCAGTCGATTGCTCCAGAAAAAAGTTAACTGTGGTCACAGATGGTACGGTCTTACCGGTCCGTGTACTTGCGCCCATATTTCCAAGCGTTAATCAGGCTGTTTTAATGAAAGAGCTGAGCGACGGCCGGAAGTCCTCGTGGCCGGGCGCGTAAGGTTGCGCGGTTCTCAGGATAGTGCATCGAACGCGCGATCAACAATAAGCAGACAACAGCAGAAAGTTCTGCATCGCCCAGAGAACGATACCTAAGGTAGCCATTTTTGTCTACGAACAACTAGTTGACGCTATTTGCAGTGCGTTCGCAGTTCGTGACTAACGCAACGCACAACCCTCTTCAGTGAGAGACCTATGGAGCGATACAGCATCACACAACCTTGGTCTTACATCAAATGTATGTCAGTGGGCAATGGGTAGAGAACCAGTAATATGTTGCTTTGACTATTATTGACACAACGTCAGGGTAGTGGGTAAAGTGCGGGGGTCCGGAAGGGGCATGCTGAGCAACGTCGTGTAGGGGCCCTCTTTGAGATAGGTATGATGTGATAATTACAACGAACTTATTTATGCTGTAGAATGCAGCATTCAATTAGAATGCTGCGTGTAGCATCAGAATTAAGAGTCAGTTAGTTAAATTTTGGACAGTATACCCGCTTCTACACAGATAAAAAAACATGTTTTGATCTCTGCCTAGAGCGTCGGTAATGTAACTCTCTACACGACCCGATTTCAATGGCTGGTAATGTTGCAAAGACCAATCAGATTTGAAAGAGGGGTGACTATACATCTGTATCATGGGCACTGGATGAGTTGCGAAAACTAGATGCAGCATCGCGTGTGTTTGCGATGTGTGTGCTGTGTGTGTTGTGTGTGTGTGTGTGTGTGTGTGTGTGTGTGTGGGTGTGTCGTGATGTGTGATGAGTGGCATGGAGGGGAGTTTGGCGCATCGCAATAGTGCGTGCGTGCGTGCGTGCGTGCGTGCGTGTGTGCGTGCGTGCGTGCGTGCGTGCGTGCGTGCGTGTGTGTGTGTTCGTGCGTACGTGCCTGCGTGCGTGCGTGTGGGCGTGCATGTGTGCGCGCGTCTGTCGTGACAATGGATTAATTGCGTATAATACGAAATGAAGTGCATAGACGCTATACCAGAAAATGAAGTGTAAATTTTTGTTAATTCATATATATAGGCAAATAAGAAAACTTGAAATTTGTAAAGTTCAAAAAAGTTTTGTAAAGTTCAATAATTTATTCACGTGCCAGTATATGTGCCGTCAGCATATCAATCCGTTACGAGTATGGCATTCGTGTATATACGCCAACATACTTGTGCAATAATGGTCCTTCAATTAACTACGTCACGAATTTTCTATGGTGTTTATTTGTAAACAAAAATTGCCTTTTTTTTCATTAAAAGGAAGTACTAACGGGACTAAACGTATCGTCAAATTGTTACCCGATAAGATTGTTTCTCAACTAGTTAAAAATCAAAAAAACCTCGACGATTTGATAAATATGTTCCTGACATTAATTGCTTGCTATGGGCTATGTATGAGTCACGAGTGTATGTTTACATTGAACAATATAGTAAAATAGGAAGTATAATGCAGCAATTTAACCATAAAAAGTAAACAGATTTACTTACATTTTGTGAAAAAGTGGAAATATCTTCTTTACTTTTACTTTTTACGGTGACGTAATCACTTTCAAGATTTCTGGTGAACGGAAGAAAATCCAGCTATGAAGGTAATTTGTTCTTGATTGGATTTAATTCATTGTCTTTGTTATTATATTCATTTGTTGCATGCTATTTTGTTTATTATACGCATATTAACGTATGAACGCTTGCCATTTTAATGGAAAATAATGATTCTTGCTATAATATTATGTCTTCATTGGCAGTAACTTACTCTTTACACTCTCTTTTCAATAACAATAGTAGTTTTATTTCTCTAACGCTACGTCATGATGCCATGTCGTTACTTCAATATCTGTTATCCTGTTAGATGCTATTTTGTTATGCGCGTGCACATAGCCTGATCTGATTTGGTTTGGGCATCCAGGTGAGGCCAAAAGTGCCTTCAAATGATGGCTCCATCACGCCATCCGGTAGCTTAACGTCGAAGTTCTGCAGGATGCTTGTGAAGAACAGGAACAGTTCCATTTTGGCCAGAGATTCCCCCAAACACACTCGCCGTCCTGTATTAACCACATTGCCGTTAACATAGATCTGCGTAGTAAGCTAGCTCAGTGGGGAAAGTTACTACACTAATATACTTCATATGTCGTTAATTTCTTACCTAACACAATTTAACGGAACCCATATCTCTGCGAAAAATTTAAATTAAAAATTTCAATCAGTGTTATCTTTAATAATTCTATATTTAACACCGATCGAAAACTGCTTCACCTACCGACGGAGAATGGAATAAAGGCTTCGTTCTTAATGACCTTTCCATTCTCGTCCAGGAATCTCTCAGGATAAAACCTTTCCGGATTTGGGAAGTAGGTAGGGTCCATCATGATAGCGGTGATATTTGACATGACAGTAGTGTTCGCTGGTATTGTGTAACCTCTGAATTCGACTTGCTCAGACGTGGCATGGGGAACTGCGAGTGGTACGATATTACCTATAAATAAAGACGATCAAATATCGAGAACTGTGGTGATGTTTGTATTAACGAGACTTTGTTAGGAAAGGAGGCAACATGATTAACACATGAACAGGATGTAGTGAATCTTCATGCACACTAGTAATGGCTCTACAAATCATAGTACGTCAAACTCTAGGTTAAACGTTAGCACGGTTAGTGCTGCTTTGCAGTGCATGGTACGGGGCGTCATGCAGGACAGGGCTCAATTTTGTCTAACAAAACTCAATTCTGTCTCACAAAACTCACTTTTGTGCACACAACTCAATTCTGTCTCACAAAATTCAATTTTGTGAACACAAAACTCAATTCTGTCAATCCTGTCCCACAAACTCAATTGTTTTGGTGAACACACTCAATTCTGTCAATCCTGTCCACAAATCAATTTTGCTGAACACAAAACTCAATTCTGTCAATTCCTGTCCCACGAAACACTCAATTTTTGTAAACACAAAAACTATTCTGTCAATCCGGCGTTCCACAAAAACTCTGATTTTGTTGCCCAAATATGGAACACGCATGATAAGAACGGCTATATTGAGTCAGAAAACTGGCTTAGAGACAATGCGCGTCCACTAGAAATGGTTCAACTTAAATGGGATCACCTGTTCAAGTTAAAGAAACAGATTGGCACCGTGACCGATTTCTCCGCCCAGTTTCTGACCATGGGTAGCACCTTCCTTACCTGCGCTGTGACCACTATTGTGGGCAACAAAAATCGAGTTTTGTGGAACAGGATTGACAGAATTGAAGTTTGTTGTTTACAAAATCTGCAGTTTTGTATGGCAACAGATTGACAGATTGAGTTTTGTGTTCACAAAATTGAGTATTTGTGGGACAGGATTGACAGAATTGAATTTTGCTGTTCACAAATTGAGTTTTGTGGGACAGGATTGACAGAATTGAGTTTTGTGTTCAACAAAAACTCCATTTTGTCAAGTTTATAGGCTTACAAAATTGCTGTCTTGCATGTCCGCCGTCATACCCAACCGGGCTCACCTATAACGTTTGTATTATCCATGACTGGCTCGCGCTTGTACAAGGGATCTATTTGGCGTCAGCCAACATTGGCAGCCTTCTCACCAATGACGTCAATCATATACTCTTCTTGCAACCTTCTGCATACATTTTGGGTGTTTTAGCATAAGACAGCAGTCGCACCATCGCAGGGTTTGTCGACGTCGTTTTCGGTTCCACGCAAACATCACCAGATGCCAAAGTAGGCTCCTTTATGAAATGAAAAATCACATATTTTTTCCCGGGAGGGGTCACCTATATATATGCCGGTATTACCGCATGTTGCGTTCTCACTAAAAATTAATAGGCCCCTAGTGCCGAACTGCACATCTGAGAAAACCCTACCCCTATTGCAGAACAAATGAAGGATACTACCCCTATTGCTATACCAATAAAAATATCCACCCCTATCTGCGACGTTACACAATGAAGAGTCTACCCGGAATCCCCACCCCCTATTGCGACCGGTTTGCAGGAGAAGTGGAAGGCAAGAGAGTTGGAGGAATGAATGAGGCCGGTGGGGGGCCTACTGCGGGCGCGGTGGCTTGACTTGAACGATCCCGCAGAGGACTTATTGCGGCGATTAGCTTTGTCAAAAAGGGGGCCCTATGTTAGTTCTCCTGCGGGCGCCGCTTTAGAAGTTGAAAAACACCCCCTTAACCCGCAACAATTTTGCGAACGCACATGGGGATCCGGCATATATAGTGACCCCCCCCCGGGATATTTTTACACAACTTTTTTTATTGTGATATCAGCTACCTGAGAATGTTGTAGCGCCTCGATTGTAGTGTGTAAGATTTGATATTCTATATTACAAATTAAATTCGTGTCTTTCGTGATGATCTACGTCGACTGGATAAAATGGTCGTGAGAGGTCAGATCAAATCTCCCATCGAGATAGATGCATCGCGGCTCACAGAGATGTTGAGAACGTCTTCGTAAGTTTCTCTAAGTTGCTAAAAGTAAGATGGTGCGCGTTCGTAATGGAAAATTGAGTTCTGCAACTATATACATATGAGTAAGAGTAAACGCGTAATAGTAATAAGTAGGTGTTTGCTGGCGTTTATATTTATATGCCTACCAGTGAACGTTTTCTCGTGCGGCTTCCTTTTTTCTGACTGTATTTCGTGATGGTAAGCATCAGTAAAGTCTCTGATGTTACCCTTGTCAAAAGTGTCTATGTGAGCATCCTGGGTCTTCTTAAGAACGTCATATATTATCCTAGAAAATGGAGTTTAGTTTGAATGTGATGATATCATTAGAGAATGCTTATTTTGGCAGACATGTCAATCTACGGGATCTTGTTGTGTGTGATATACGGACGACATGTGACTGAATTACTAGCATGCTCTTAAACACAGCCTTTTCAAAATACATGCCTTCGGTAATATTGAGATATGTATGTGTTATCTGCATAATATCTATAATATACATTATCTACACCTTTCATTGCACAGTATGTCCTGCATTAGCTTCCGGTAAGGCGGAACATGTCGCAACCACGGAAGGAAATTCAGTAAGCCGGTAGTAGCGAAATTAACAAACTCCTGATTCAATGCTTTCATCAGGATCTTGAACTGCTCGTCATGGTGTTCAAATCGGTTTCCCCACATGATGCTGCAGATCACGTTGCAGACGCTTGTATTAAGCAGCGGCTAAGAAGACAGAAAACCTGCCAGTAGTATTAGTCATGCCATGTGTCTGATCCGATTTTGACCTTAAAAATGACACGTGCCACAGTTTTGTGCTATGGCTAAGGCTCGTCCTGAGTTTGTTGCGGTCCATTTTGTAATCCCTACCCTTCTTCTGCGGTAGTGACAGCAGCAAACCTTGAGTTAATGCATGAAAAACATTTTAAGTTTGCTTCGATGTTGACCAGTTTAATTACATAGACTCATAGACCATGAGCCTGTCCCCTATCATGTACGTGCCTGCTTACAGCCAATTTAAATATTAAGTATAAAAATAATATTCATATTAAATAACATCATGTATAATTACTATGGATTGTTGTCGACAGTTGATATTAATATGTAATATTATATAATAATAGGTTCGCTTAGGATTACTCGCGATCAATATGAGAACAAGACAACATGTGAGAACAAACATTTTACTCGCCTAGCAATACTTATTCACTTACCTGGATGTCAAATGCCTCTCCATTTGTAGATTTGATTGCAACTAGAAGAATAGAAATTTCTTCCTTAATCTTTGACTCTAAGCTGACTTTGCCAACACCAAATCCTCGCAGTTTTGCAAGCGCAAACTTGCGCTGTTCTTTCCAGAGTTTTCCAGTAGAAAACACCAACCCTAGTGCAAAATGTTGATTAACATAACTTCCATTTTATACAAGTATTAAATGTTACGTATATATTTAGTCTTGATTCACTATATAAAAGTTATAATTACAATTATTTTATTATATTTCTAACAGAGCAATATTGCAATAAGTGGGTTCTAATGGTCTATACCATATCTTCATTCACGCCAGCTACCTCACACCATAGACTAGGAATAACGTAGCCTATGCTCACACCTACCATGGTTACCACTTGTGATGTTCGAATCTGTTATGATTTCGTTTATTATAGCATCGAACATAGGGAATTCGGGTCGCCCAGAAAACGCGTCCCCTTGCTTGAGGAAGGCATCTTTTGCAGAAGCAGCGTTGCTCAGAACAACAGTTAACTGTGGTCCCAGATAGACGCTCATTACCGGTCCGTAGGTCTTCGCCCAATCTTTCAGCGTTAAATCCGGCCGTTCTCCTAATGAAAGAGCTGAGCCGACGAGCGGAAGTCCTCGTGGCCCGGGCGGAAGGTTGCGCGGTCTCCTCAGGTAGTGCCATACGAACGCAGCGATCACAACAATAGCGGACAACAGCAGAAAGTTCTGACCCGGCAAGAGAACGATTCCTAACGTAGCCATTTCTGTCTACGAAGAACTAGTTGACTCTATTTGCAGCGCTTTCACCGCATTGCACAACCTCTTGTTTAAATGCAGGGCAGTTGAATGATATATAGCGGAACATGACCTTGATCTTACCATAACGGAAAACCTAGATTCCACAGTTCAGTAAATGTGTGAGTGCGCGTGTGCTTTACGCGTGCGTGCGTGCGTGCGTGCGTGCGTTCTGGTGGGTGCATGCATGCGTGCGTTCGTAAGTGCGCTCAGTCTATAACGTTTCTTTATTTCTAAATGGTTGATCAGCTAGGTCGCAATCGTCCCACAGGGGTGACACCTGGAATCCTGTACCTCGATTGCCATGAACGTTTCAGGCCCGTAGCGGTGACTCCAGGAGGGGTGGGTCATTTTTTCAGGTGAACCTTTGGAGCCAGTCAACTTATAGTTTGTGTACTGCATGAACGCAATCATGACAAAGAAACACATTATCTGTCAGAATAATTTATTTCAGAATGAACTTTGCACAATGTACAAACTAGTGCAAAATATTTCATGAGTAATATATAGTACGTATACTCGGTGCATTGGTTAACACATAAACATGTTCAGACGTCTATGTTACCGCCAGATGAAATAAAACCAAGCATGAAAAACTTTCTAGAACTGACAGTAGCTTCTACAGTATGTATCCGGTTTTAGTTCCAGTTTTCTTAAATGGAGTGTGGTGAAGATGTTGAACGCCTTTTTTTTAGATCTACATGATACGTGTCATGGTGCTATGAATCATACGCTATAAATCAACTCTCTCTCTCTCTCTCTCTCTCTCTCTCTCTCTCGCAGCGATGTAGCAGATACGAAAGTAGCAGATAGCAGATAGCAGATAGCAGATAGCAGTCTACGAAAGTCAATGGCGGCGACAGTGACGATGCTAATGACGATGACGATGTCGCCGCCGCACTTCCTTGTTTCGCTCGTCCACAACGCCTCGTCGATAAAGTCGCAGTCAGTAAATTCGCTGATTATTCGATTATTGTGATAGAGAGAAAGGGAGAAAGGGTTAGGGTTAGGGTTAGGATTAGGGTTAGGGTTAGGGTTAGGATTAGGGTTAGGGTTAAGGTTTTTGCATCATGATATCTGTCCCCACACCATAGATTAATTTTTGTGGATCACAATGCCTATATATAGCGCGGCGATACATATATATTTAGTGTGAGTGTTAGTGTTGGCGGTGTTGGAGTGAGGGGGTGAGGGTTACCGTTAAGGGTAATGTTTTGAACTTCATCGTCAACGTTATCACGTGACCTCCCTCCACGCCCGGGGGATAGCAACACCCGAAAGGTACCTGCGCTGCCGCCGCACGCCAGCGATAGGGGGGAGGCATGCTCCCCCAGGGAATTTTGAAATATTTAAGCCATTTTCCTGCAATTCGCGATTTTTTTTCTGGGCCTGAAAACGGGGGAGGCGTACCCCGACTCCGCCCTATTATATGCTGGATACACCCATAGATATAGAAGAAGATAGATATCTTCTTCTATATCTATGATACGCCAGTATATAGCTAGATACGCAAGTAACGCAACTGCAGTGGCGCCCGCAGATAGAAGCACTGGAAGCACAGTGCTTCCAGTAAATTTTGGGAACGTAAATTACACAATTTTTTTCCTAAATCTCTCTCGCAAGACTCACCAGATTGTATCTCCAGACGTCTACCATTCAAATTTTTTAGGGGGGGGGCATGCCCCCAGACCCCCCTAGAATGCAGCGCGCCTACGGCGCTTGCTTTTTATTATCACTGAGGATTTTATCCTTCTGTGCTTCTACTTGTGGTCTACTTGCGCTTCTACTGCGCTTCTACTTGTGGTCCTACTTGTGCTTCTACTGTGCTTCTACTTTCTTAAGACCTGTGGCCGCTAGTGCGCCACTGTATAATATCATATATTGTTCTCAGCTTTCCACATAGAGTTGTATAAATATATAACTCTAATATATAACTAATATCTAACTCTAATATATAACCCTATTATATATCTAGGTCTATATATATATATATATATACAGGCCCGTAGCCAGCTTTATATTGGGGGGAAGAGAGAGCGAGATGGAAAGTGAGAGAGGGGGATAGGGAGGAAAGTGGAAGGGTGGATGGGGAGAAGTTCCATATTCTGTCTTACGAATTTAACCGTTAAAATGAGGTAGGAAGGGAGAGAGCGAGTGGGAGAGAGAGGGGGTTCGGAGAGAGAGCAGAGGGAAGGATGGAGAGAGGTAGAGAGAGAGAGCGACGGAGGGAATGGACTGGGCAGTGGGGAAATGGGGGAAGGGGAAATGGGCAGGGAGGAATATGTGTATGTGTGTGTGTGTGCGTGCGTGCGTGCGTGCGTGCGTGCGTGCGTGCGTGCATGCGCACGCGCGTGTGTGTGTCTAATGGCATGGTATCGGGACAGACACACACCCCGAGGATTATGTAAAAAAGTGTTATCCGATATTTCCCGTGTGAAACTGAGAAATTATTCGAAATGTGTATATAGCCAAAAGAGTTGTCGACGGAAGCAGTATTTCGCTGAATTTCTGCAATGTTCCTAGAGAGCACGTCGCCAGCACGCGGTGCATGTGATAAAAAATTTCGCTAGCGTGTCAGCCCGTTGCAGAGGCGACGTCGGAAAGAGGTGCGGGCGGTAAAATCGTCGACCGGAGACTATGTCCAGTGCTGATCATAGGATATATTATGTGCATATCGCCGTCGGCAGTAATTCGCAAACACGTAGGCGGTCGCCGAACTTTACCATGTTTTCCTATAGTCGGATAGCCCGAAAATGGTTTGAATGCATACTTTCGCCTCATGCTCTATATTTTCGGCTCGAACGGGCATGCGCAAATTCGATATTTCCCCTTGTGAAACTGAGAAATTATTTGACACTAGCCTGGTAGCCTGGTTGCTCGGGGAAAAACGCTTAGGAACAACGTGTTTGTAATTACGCTTTGTAATCATTTAATTATTATACTGATAACACAGGGGCGTGTACAAGATTTGTACCAGGGGGGTCTAACCGTAACCAAAACTTGAGAGCACGCGAAGGGGGGTCTGGGGGGCCCAATTTTTTTGAAATTAGACCCCCTTAGATGCGTTTTTTGCGCGAGCGGGGGGGGGTCCGGACCCCCTGGACCCCCCTCCCCCCTGTACACGCCCCTGTAACACTGATTATTCTAACATTTTTAATGCGAAGTTAGGTACGCTCTACTCTCATTTCTTTACTAATCAGTTACTTCATATTTTTTGTCTATATTAAAGGGAGAGTTTACTCTAGGTTCTAGGGTTATTTTCAGCTAATTTAGGTTATAATTACGCTACATAAAAAGTTTCATGGTTCAATCACCATTAAAAATATTTTTGTTTAATGTTTTAAAACTAACGACTACATTTTGATTACAACGACGGTGGCGCCACTCAAAGCGCACGATCTGATAAGTTGCGCAAAACCACTTTCCAGCCAAGGGCTACAGACCGAGGGTGTTTCTTATTTATTCATTTAAAAGCAAAAGGATTGTAATATCTCATAAACGACATATAGTTTCAGTTATAATATGGATAAATTTGCCCTAAAATGAATATCGTTAGGTTAAATAGCATTTAGGTATAAATATAATTGCACTTTTGTGATTAGCCCTCGGTCTGTAACGTGCAAAATAAATGGTCAAATACGCAACTTTTTTTGGGGTGGCAGCACGGTCGCGGGTGTTATGGCGTCGTTCAAATTTCGTAGGGTTGACGTG